TATGTAGTGACTACACGAGCAAGTTGAAGCCTGTGTCAAATAATAAAGGCCATACATGTGTCAGAAATGCTAGATTTAAATAAAATGCAGACAATAGACCTTATTCGTGGTGTGACAATGTTTTCCCAATTCAGCGTGACGAGCCTCSAGGGGATTCATTTTCTTTTGTTTTTACTCTTCGAAAAATTCATGAGTATCCCAAAGGATACGAAGGTAGAATAACGATGACATCCCGACGAGTTTCAAAACAATAGCTCTYCATTCCCCCAGACGTTATCACGTACTCAAGCATACGACGTCCAGAATTCATTTGCATCTGTTTCTGCTACAATTTTCTATATTTTCATATATTTCAACAACGTTTCTCTATTGCAAGCTTATGCTAGCTCTCTTTAACGTCCATCTTTAACAGATTGCCCCTTCAGTCTCTTAGTTCTGGTGCCGTCGCAGATGGCTGGAAGCCATCATACATTGTACCCGTCCACATGAAAAGGGCGACCAAGATCACGATGAAAACTATCGATTAATTTGACCTTTTTTTTAAATCTTCTACTAATAAACACTTGATATAATTCTTGAAGACCATGAGACTGGCTGTTGATACATATAATAAATCTTTAGTGAAATTTCCATGCCATGTGCTGTCCTTGAACTCGCGATCAATATTGATGGRTTGCAAGCATTCCCAAGAGAGTCAAAAGACAAAAGCATGGCGGCCATTGTGGTGCCGTTTACAATGGGTGCTAATGAGAAATCTTTTGTTAAATGGCACCAACATGGCCGCGATGACGTAACGTGCAATCGAAGAATTCGCATTGAATTTTGTGGGTACTTAAGTTGGCTCGGCATGAATAAGTCATTTTACTAATAGCTTTCTTGAAACCGAATKTTTCTAAAACGGAAAACTCTAATAATTCTCATTGCAGTGTGTCACATTACATACACAAATCGATCGAATAAAAATGCTGGGGGCAACGGCGCTAGGTCAGAGGGACTTATTCCTAAATAATACTAGAGTTCACTGATATATTTTTGTTTCCAAATCGATACTAAATACAATAYAATACATCTTTATTCACATTTCCTTTTATGTTAGATTACATTAAATTATATATTTAGATCATTGAAAATAGGGCTCACTTATCACGTTTCCAACTAACGGCCAGTTAACCCTGTTTGGTATCTACCAATAAGTGAAACAAACACACTGATATATATTTCGTAAAAACGTGACGAAAGAAGTTGTTTTACGACATCTACAGTCCATGGGTATAACATAGGTTTCGTCACTTGCAGAAATTTTGCAGACGCGTCTGCCCATTGTCCGTACACATTTATTATATCTCTATCTTTATTGTGTGTTTACAATCTAAGGTACATAAAAACTACATAAAAAACCTAAGATCCAATTTCGACTACAGTTGTGGGATATCTTACATTAAGAACTTGTTGGGTCTTGACAGCAATCCAGTCTGAAAATTAAAAAAATGATTAAATCTAAAGGACGTTAAAGTGGAATCTTTCCTTTCATATTTCGGCTTCTTGTAGGCACGTGTATATACTATAGCAATTACTCGCCGAAGGCGAAGTGAATATCGGGGAATATTTACCGA